TTCTTCATGGGTATTGCGGGGGGGGGGGGGGGGGGGCCGGAGGGGGGCCCCCCGCCCCACTATTTGAGAAGTACTGTTTTAGGGGAAACTGGGGCCTCTATTGCAGGGTTAAAATAGCTTCCTTAATTGTTAAAAATATTCTATTGTATATTGACTGTAGGCCTACTGTATTTCATGTTGATGCATGTAAAACTTTGAAAAAAATGCCCAAGTTTTTCTTCAAATCTTAAACAGAAACTAACCTGAATCCATTTTTAATTTTTTTTCCTATCATAAAACCCTTTACAGGTTTTTTCAGTGATCTCAAATCTTCACATTTCACTGCTTAAGATTAAAAAAAGTATCTCACCTAATATATGTGCTGAATATTCTACCCCTGCAGTATTCTTTATCGTACGGCTGCAGTCAGTCCGTGCAGTATGGCACACGTCTGGTTTCCGTGACCACAGTCATCTACACCAACTGTATAAGGTTTCTCCTCGGGATATATATTACACACAGAGAGAGGAAATGGCACATCTGTCCGCCTCGGCCACGGGCTTCCTTATTATGATGATGTGACATGGAAGTCCGAGGTCTGACGCTGACAGTGATCCATGCGGACGCGAGCGTTCGATTCTCTGTAGCAAAACATTTGCTTTCCGGGGGGCGCAGTAAAGGAGGAGGGGCGCTACTGATATAGCATCCATATGATTTCTGTATGGAGACACGGGAGGAAGACTGTGACATGTTTGGTGTTCTTCGACCGATGTGCCCATGTAGTATAAGCATCAACATCGCAAAAGTAACGCGCGTAATTTCACAGTATAATTATTCTTAATATTCAAATATTCTGAGTTGTCATTTTTCCTACATTCTCTGCAGCTGTATGGTTTTAATGATAACCTCACTGACTGGTTTTTTCAAGGGCACAGTGTGTGTGCTCACCCAGTTCTTCCCGGGGGGGGGGGTTCTTCATTGTGGTGATGGTGGTCGTTTATTATCTTCCAGACCGTACACCGACGTCGCAAAAGGATGGGTGATAGAGGAGGTGGGCGGGTAGGTGGGAGGGGGTAGGAGGAGAGCGGGGCAACTGCGCCGCAGCAAGGAGAGAGGAGGGAGCGCTGGAGTCTGAGTGCGCTAGGGTGGGAGACTGTCCTTCAAGGTCAAGTCGGCTGGTTTGAATTCAATCACTTCTGGCCAGTCGTTTCAAAATAAATAGCGTGTACTGTACGTTTTAATATTTGAATATAAAATGGATTTACTAATATTAAATAATGATTGAAAAATAAATTCGCACCTGTTATTGGCGTATGCCAGTATAATAAAATAGTTTTAGGAGATAAATGTTATTACCTTAAAAGACATAATCGACAGGTTCCATCTATGGTGCATTTGTGTTGGGTTATAATTGATTGTATACACTATGCATAATGTTAAATATTGTGTGAATGATTTTTTTTCAATCAATGCAAAATAACATAAATCAATAGCAGATGCACTGGCAAATCCAAAAATTGTGTGAGTTTAATAAAATTTAATTAAATTATTTTTTATTATTCAATATAATGAAAAATAATAATAAATCATTATTATGATTCATTATTATTATAAATTATTTAATTATGCTTTTAGATAGTAACCAGAGCTGTACTAGTCATGACACCTTTCCAGTGCCACGTCTTTAACTTTGAAAGAAATTATCATACTTCCGGTTTCGGTGGAAAATCCGTCCTTCTTTACGAACTCCACAGCTCCTGCAGCAGGGAAACACACCCGTCAGATGCGCGTACCAGAGACGGGGGGGAAAAAAAAAGAAAAAAAAGAAACAGACACACACACACACGCACATACACACACATATACACACACACACACACACACCGCGGACAAAGGAAACATGGATGCACTGGAGAGAACCCATCACAGCCCAGAAACGCTATGGATGCTCCGCGTGTCTTTCATTCACCGGGAGACGAATTAGTCCACCTTAATGAGGAGCTGGGACGCAAGGTACTGCAAGCTAAAAAGACGGAAGGGTGCGTTTAATCCGTCTGCGGATCCTCTGAGCTTGCAATGGCTGTGGCGGGGATATGCATGTGGAGAGGGAATATTGTGCCTTTTTATTTTGTGATATGTTTCTTATTTTGTGGCCTTTCGTTTGGACAACTGCGATACTCTATTCCCGAAGAACTCGAAAATGGGGCACTGGTAGGTGATGTGGCGCATGACTTGGGACTGGATATTCGGAAGCTCTCCAGCCGAAAATTGAAGATAACCTCCAGCAGTGGCAGACGCTATGTGATTGTCAATCCCAAAAATGGGAAATTACTCGTCAACGAGAGAATCGACAGAGAAACACTGTGTGACATGTCCAGCCCCTGTCTGATTAACCTGGAGGTGATGGTCGAAAATCCCACTGAGGTCCATCACGTCGAGGTGGAGATTGTTGATGCCAATGATAATGCGCCACAGTTCCCAAGCGACGAGTATCAACTGGAAATCACAGAGGCTGCTCTGCCGGGCTCTCGTTACCCGATTGAACACGCCCAGGACCCAGACATCGGGTCAAATTCAGTTCGTATATATCAGCTCAGCACAAATGACCATTTTGCGCTGGTATCGAACAAACCTTCAATAAACACAAAGCACATTGAGCTTGTTCTCAAAAAGCCTCTTGATCGTGAGCAAACACCTTACCACCAGTTAATTCTAAGTGCTGTGGATGGGGGGACACCTGAGAAAACAGGCTCTGCCAAAATCAATGTCCGCGTCCTGGACTCCAATGACAACGTTCCGCTCTTTGACAGCTCGGTGTACAAGGTGAAACTGCTGGAGAACTCGCCCAAAGACACGCTGGTGATCAAACTGAACGCCACTGATCTGGACGAGGGCACCAATGGAGAGGTGTATTACTCCTTCAGCAGCTACACCCCGGAGAGGGTGAGACAGATGTTCAGCATGGACACTAACACGGGAGAAATCCGTGTGAGGAGCAATGTCGATTATGAGGAGACCAACTCCTACGAGATGTACATTCAGGCCATGGACAAAGGACCGGGGGCCGTGGCGGCCCACTGCAAGGTGGTGGTGGAAGTGGTGGACGTGAATGACAATGTCCCCCAGATCGTCTTGTCCTCCTTGTCGAGCCCTGTGAGGGAGGACGCCCGTGCAGACACTGTCGTTGCCCTCATTAGCGTCACTGATCGCGACTCCGGTGCAAACAAGCAGGTAAGCCTCGAGATACCGGCAGGCCTTCCTTTCAAGATCAAGTCATTCAGAAACTACTACACTCTGGTCACCTCTGCCTTCCTGGACCGTGAAACCACTGATGCCTACAATGTCACTCTGAGTGCCACAGATGGAGGAAATCCGCCCCTTTCCTCCCGGAAGACCATACAGGTGGACGTAGCCGACGTTAATGACAACCCGCCGCGGTTCGAGCAGACTTCGTACACGGTGTACGTGGCGGAGAATAATGCCCACGGGGCATCTTTGTGTACTGTGAAAGCTCAAGACGCAGACATCAAAGAGAACGCACGCATCACCTACACCGTCCTTAACGACAACAACCACGGCATCCCCGTCACCTCCTACGTGTCCGTGAAGGCCGACACAGGCGAGGCCTACGCCCTGAGGCCCTTCGATTATGAATCACTCAGAGAGTTCCACTTCCAGGTTAAAGCCCAGGATGGGGGCATTCCTCCACTGAGCCGCGTTGCCACTGTCTACATTTACATAATGGACCAAAACGACCACGCGCCGCTGATAATAAACCCTCCAGGTAACGGGACGCGCTCCTTGGAAACGGTGCAGAAGAATGCAGAGCCCGGTGCCCTGGTGACCAAGGTGGTGGCATACGATGCAGACACCGGCCCAAACGCCTGGTTAGTGTACATGTTGGAAACGGCCACCGACCTGGACCTGTTTAAGGTGCACGAACACACTGGTGAGATCAGGACCACTCGAAGGATTCTGGAGGACAACTCCACGTCCTTTGCTCTCACCGTTCTCATAAAGGACCACGGGGAGCCGGCTCTGTCCTCTACCGCTACCATTAATGTGGCAGTCATGGAGGTGCCCCCCAAAGTGGCCCCTGACCCCAAGAGGATCATCCGACCTCACAGCACACTGCGGTTCTCCAACGTGACCCTCTACCTGATTGTGGCTTTGAGTGCCACAACGTTTGTTTTCCTTGTCACCGTAGTGGTGCTTGCCATTGTCCGTTGTCATGCCTACTGCACCCAGCCAGGGTCCTGCTCTCCTTGCTGTGTGTCACAGAAGCCACCGCCAGATGGTGGGAGTAGCAGTGTGAGTGCAGGCGGGGCTGGCGGCGGCGGAGCCGGGGCACAACCTAACAACAACGTGGTGCTTCGGAGAGACCTTAAAGTGGAGCCTCATTACATCGAAGTGCGGGGCAACGGCTCCCTCACAAAGACTTACTGCTACAAGACCTGCCTGACAGCCACCTCGGGCAGTGACACGTTCATGTTCTACAACACCGGACGTCCCATCAGTGGCACCTGGGGTAGCGGCGCTGACCGATTCTTCACCAGTGGAAGTGGATTTGTGCGTAGGCTGAGTATGCCTGATGCCTCGTTGCAAATCTGCCCAGAGGTGAGTTAGTTTCCTGCTTTCGTGTTTACGCCCATGTTACACGGAATGAAACTCTTCGGTTCCACATTGGAGTGTTGAAATTCTAACTACGGTGAAGGAAGTAAGTACTGTAAGTCACGCGTTGTACCCAGTTTAGCTCAACGCTCACATCACGTTAGCATCACTCTGAATGCTTTCGGGACTCGTTGGCCTCCTGATAATATAGCGATTTGTATATCAGTTAAGGCTTTCATCGCATTCGCACGAACAAGAACAGTGTGTATTTTTGTTTCATCGCATTCGCACGAACAAGAACATTGTGTATTTTTGGTGTTCTGCATATGTATGTATGTATGTATGTATTTGCGACTGCTTCCAAAGTACCAACTATCACAACACTAGAGCTGAGTAAATAAGAAAGTACTTGACTCCATATCGCAGCGAGAGTTGGTTCATACAGAAGTACAGTCAGAACACCAGAAAACCTCTAGCAATAAGTCATTTATCAGTAGGCTTAGTTTTTATATAATAAGTGGACAACTGTTGCAGTATTTGTTTGTATCGTTGTCTTTCACAAATTCATTTCTCTCACTCGGCCTGAATAAATGTTAGAATGACCTAGCTCCTCTGTTACTCAGGGAATTAAATATTTGGTCTCAGAAGGACATCATCCATTAAGATCATCTATGAGATTTCTTACAGCGTTTTCTGCATTTTGTAAATGCTATATGCTAATTTGAAAAAACAAAAACAAAAAAAACAAAAAAAACTCACAACAGATTTAATTTGCCAAACGCAGTCACGATTGCTTTGTCGGAATAAAATTGCACTTAACCCAGGATGCATCACCTTCATTTTTTGGTTTTAGCTCCACATACAGTACATGATATAATGTAATGCAATAAGAAAACTGAGTGTTCCAAAGAAACGCAAATTAGATCTACTCACACGTCTTGGTCCTACCGGCCGAATGAAGTACTCTGTGAACTTGACTGGGGAACAGCGTGTACCCAGCAGTACATATGTTCATTTTTATGTGATGTATTTTTTATTAACATATTTTAATAATGTATTTTTCATGTGTACACTACATGAATGCATACAATTCTAAATACAAACATTAAATTAAATATATATTTATTTTTTTATTACAGGTATTTATAGATAGCAACAATGTTACTCTCGTTCATTAGAAATCAACTCCAACTCCAGAGGATGTTCATGTGAGTTTTTATATAGAGATAACCTTAAAGATCATGTCATTGTAAGACAAACGACACTCCCTATTCGTATTCCTTTCCCGCAATGGAAAAATGAATTCTCCTGGCCTTCAATTTCAATAGAGTTCTAGGTCGGGCGAAGTCAGCCAACAGATTAACTTCAGCTGTCTACAAAGCCCATACCTTTTCAGAGCCTCATCAATATGGCTTTCAGTGGGTGCCCTTTTGCAAGTCCTTGCATGGATGATGTCAGCGTGGACGCATGCGTGTATCGGGCCTCCTGTAATGGGGGACACGACTGCAGTGCTCCTACATACAGATCATGGTTATGTCTCATGATTAATTGATGAGGCCAGGGCCCATCCTAGATCTGCACTGTATGAGTGCAAATTAAACCCACTTTCACTTTCTCCCTCTGTCTCTCTGTCTCTCTCTCTCTCTCTGTTTCCCCTCAGCCAAAAGCCCCAAATGCTGACTGGAGATATTCTGCATCTTTGAGGGCAGGAGTGCAGAGGTAAGCACTTTCCATCTTTACCCTCTTTGTAAGTTATGATCACGTCGTTGACGTAACGCTCCCTCACAGATTCTTCCCGCACAGTTTACACCTTGTCTTCAAAGCGCCGAGACATCAGACACCGACACTATGACTCACCAACACATAGCAAGCACCGATTGGCCCAACACCTTGTAGTGGGAATCAGGTTGAACAGATGGTTGTCAGCAAGTGGCAGGTTTTGTTTTTTTTTTTTTTTTTTTTTTTTTTTCCATTTAATAGAAGGTTGACCTAGTAAAAAAAAATGGTTGCATCCTTGCTCCAGAAAATATTAAATTAATTAAATTTTTTTTAAACACAAATTAAATAAATGAACTGTTTATATAGAAATTAATATGTGTCATATATTATATTTTATTTTGTAAGCTTTTAAGGGGCTAAATGCAGTGTTACCTGGTGTGAAAACATTTTCTGGATTTTTTTTTTTTTTTCTTTCTCCAGTTTAGTGACGGCACACGATAACTGTGTATTATGTCAATATCCCAGTCAATACAGACTGCTGGACACAGCACTGAAGCTCTCTCCTTTTAAATTAATAATGGAAAATAGATTAGGGATGACTGCTGGTGCCTCCGTGGCATCTGTTATATCCCGAACTCCTTCGGGAGACAGCCATGTGCAGCAGCTGTAACCGGCAGCACAGCACTCCACCTCTGCAGTAATAACGTAGGCCATCAACATTCGAGGCACTGCTCCCCCCCCCCCCCCCCCCCCCCCCCACCCCCCCCCCCCCCCCGAGTTCCAGACTTCAGGCAGGATCCATGAAGGACAAATGGGCTATCAGTGACCTTTCCCAGATTCTACATTTTTGATGCTATGCGCATGTGTAGTCCAACGTCATGCAACTCAAAAAAAAAAAAAATAAATGCATAAAAAAGGAAAACAAATAGAAATCACAGGTTTGGGTGTAAAGTTAGAGGAGCTGGAAAAAAAAAGTTGCTTTTTTTTCAGATAGTAATCATGTCATTTATAATACTTTTTAATGGCAGTGACGGTCCACTTGTTGTGGACATGGGCTATACTGAAGTCCAGCATAACAGAGATCAATTATAAAATTAAAAGGTTCTTATAAAATATTAATGTGATCCTCTGTTAAACGTATTGCATTGCTTTGAGGTAAATAACTATATTTTCCCATACATGTTAATAACATTTGACCATGCTTATATTGAACAATTTCAACATACAGTACATTTAAATGTTAATAACATTTGACCATGCTTATACTGAACAATTTCAACATACAGTAAATTTAATTTAATTTTTAATTTAATAATAAAATGATGTTACTGTAAATAAAAGGAAATATTTTTTAAAAATCTGGGGGTTTTTTATGTGAGAAAAGCTGGGAAGCCATGGATAAATCACTGTAGTGAACATTTTTAAAGCACTTTAGGGTGTAGAGCACTCAAAATCCTATAAAGTCAGAATTGAAGGCACAGCTTTATTTTCCTGAAATGCACTTTTTATACTCTGTACCACCTGATAAAACACTGAGCTCACTGAGTACCACTGTGATGACCGACATTAGAATTCCCCTGCTCATTTCACGTTCGCGAAAAAACAACCAAATAAATTTTTTAAAAAAACAGACCTATTTCATAATCTCACAAGTAGCGACACATTTTTTTCTAAATGTTGTATTAATTGTCCATGGTATGTTTCAGATTTATTCAATTGAAAATGTAAATGTGAAAAATATGAATTTTCCCCGCGTACCACTAGAGAGCGCTGGTACCACAGTTTGAGAACCACTGCTCTAGTCCTATACTGGTGGTGTAGAATCTCCAGAATGTCACGCTTACAGTGTTTATTACTCCGCAGTGCTGTCTTCTGTTCCACATCAGTTGATTTTAATTGGTTGATGATGGCGTGATGTGGAGGGTGTACCATGGTGTTGTATCATGTTATCAAAGCATGGCAACATGACATGGTTCAACTGAAGTCATCACTGCAATTTGTTACTGTGCGGACAGAGAGATGGCTCACAGTAACCCTGTCAAACCTGGGATGGGATTTTACACAGTGCACTGTTGCATATACAGCACCGACATCAGTGACCCACATTTCTGTGTAGACAGCTCATAACGTGGGCCACCAGTCTCATTCATGAAGTACAGAATACTGAAACTTCTCATCTATCTATCCATCCATCCATCCATCCATCCATCCATTCATCCATCCATCTATCCATCTATCCATCCGTCCATCCATCCATCTATCATCCATCCATTTATTCATATATCTATCTATCATCCATCCATCCATCTATCATCCATCATCCACCATCCATCATCCATCATCCATCATCCATAATCCATCCATTCATCCATTCATCCATCCATCTATCCATCTATCCATCCGTCCATCCATCCATCTATCATCCATCTATCATCCATCCATTTATCCATCTATCTATCTATCATCCATCCATCCATCTATCATCCATCCATCATCCATCCATCCATCCATCATCCATCCATCCATCCATCTATCATCCATCATCCACCATCCATCATCCATCATCCATCATCCATAATCCATCCATTCATCCATTCATCCATCCATCTATCCATCTATCCATCCGTCCATCCATCCATCTATCATCCATCCATCCATTCATCCATCTAACTATCATCCTTTTTTTTTGATTTGTGACATCAGAAAATTTCTAGCAACCATTAGTTTTAGACATTAGTTTTCAAAACAAAATAATAATTGTTTTAAAAAAAAAAATCATAATTATTTTTTTAATTATTACTAGATATTTCAGGTGACCCCAAGGTTGAAAAACGCTGCGTTAAGCCAATATTTTTACATCGTAGATCTCAGATGCGTTAAGCTTGTCTCCCCTTCTTTCAGTTCTGTCCGAATGGAGGAGGCTTCTGTTATGCAGGGACCCCCAGGGATGTTGGTTCAGAACTGGCCGACTGTTTCCAGCGCTGCAGGTAAGGTAACATGTCGCTGTTCTAATATTGTATTGCATGTTTGGGGGGGTGGGGGAGGGATTTTTTGTAAATACAATATTGAAGTTATTCAGGCTTTGCCAAATGTATTATTTATAATTAAGATTTAAGGTTATTAAATCAGTGATAGACGCAGCATGAGATATTGTACAAACAGTGTTCTTACTGATTCAGTGCCAGCAGGGGCATAAGGCTAGAACAGATTAGAGTTAGGTTAAAAAAAGTCTCCCTTATCTCTGTGGTGACCCAGTTACATTTGGTATGACATTCAAATAGAGACATATGGAAACCAAAATGCTAAGTTCTTAACACCTACACTAGGGATGCCCGATATGAACTTTTTGCCGATATTGTCCAAACACTTCATATCTGATTCCAATATCAACCAATACAGATATACAGTATGCAGGTGTTTGGGTTCCATTGTGTGCTGTGACACAATGACAATAATTCACTTTCAATTCAAAACTATTTTTAGGTCCCGAAACCCAGGCTACGCGTTATCGGGGTTTCATTATCGGAGGAAAAAAAAAACAATACCGATTTTTACCGATTATTTTGCGACTATCGGTTGGCCGGTATTATTACATAGTAGTGTTGTGTTACTGCAGCAACAGTAGATTGAGACATGTCACCCTTGTTGAGTTTTGAGCAGTTTAGGAACAGCAGATTAAGCAGATTTAGCTCTTTAAATTTTTGAGGTTCGCCATTGTCCTGGTGAATAACCCGAAAAAAAGTTTTACGCTAACATGACGTCTTGACCGCAGTGTCAGTTTCTTACGATTTCAAAACAGGCCATTACCTCGAGGGTATCTCCCGTGACCTTCTCTGCAGTTCTGATCACAACTTGCTTCATTTGATAACCCCATGATTGCTGAAATACGTTTCTGATCAGATCCAACTGTATATTTGGAGAGCAAATCCCTTCATTGCTGATTCCACTGCTGTATCATCTAAAGTTCATGCATAAGTACTGGTCTCTGCCTTCAGCCTTTAACCACTCATACTTGTCTGTTGAGTTTCCCTGAATTCTTTGCAAAATATCAGCATAGCGATCACAGTAACAATATATGAAATCACTCGTGTGCTACAGCTACACTGTGATGCTCAAGCTTGCACGCTTGGCTCTGCCTCCCCTTTCCACCATTCTTCCAATAGCAGAAGATCATGTTGCTGGGCGTCAAACATACGGCCCGGGGGCCAAAACCGGCCCGCTAGGTAGTTCAATCAGGCCCGTTTGATGAATTAAAAAAATAAAAAAAATGCACAAATAATTCATGTTCAGATCAGGATTTTTTGGGAAAATTATATTTCATTACTTATGAAATTATATTTCATAAGTAATGAATTAATAATAGTAAATATCCATTCATTGTTATGTTTGTACTGGTCCGGCCCACTTGACATCCCATTATGTTGTATGCGGCCCGTGAATCAAAATTAGTTTGACACCCCTGCTCCGAACCAACCTTAGATTGAAGGCTTTTTGTTTATTTTTAAATTACCTCCACATATTTCCCTGTAAAATGCTGATTACCAAAAATGACCAAACTGCAGATTCGGTTGTGTTTGCACACAGGGAAGTGGTACTAACTTCTGGTAGCAGCAGCGGGATCTTTAGCTTTTATTTTTGTCTAGACAAGTGGGCAAAATAATTAATGTGACAGCGACATGATCTCGATTAACACTGTTACCTTCACTTACGAATGACACAGTAAAGCCCGCGAACACAGACAGTCGACTAAACCCTGGCACAAAAATAGAAGCGCGGTGATGGAAGTGGTAACTTTTTCATAATCAACACGACTAATTACCCCCGAAATGTCTGTTAAAAAAAAAAAAAAAAAACGCCGACAGAAAGACACCCATGTGCTCTTGGCTGTGATATCCCCCTGTGCCTCAGAGAAGCTGCTACGGATTGATTTTCTGTCTAGCTGCAGGAATTAGGACGTAGGTACAGACTTGAGGTTGATGTGCAGAGCATCACAGTCAATCAGCGTACGAGTCGGTGACAGATTGTCTCCAGGAAGTGCAGGTTCTTTACTCTTCCTGTTGAAAAGAGCTGTTTGAGACACAGGTTGTGTCAAATCATCGGGGGTGTCAGTTCGCTGCAGACATTTTGTGGAACAGAAGGAAACCTGCTTCTTCTTGACTATGAAGGGAACATTCAGACTTTCCAGAAGTACACGGTACGCTGCAATGAGAAAAAAAAAAAACGTAAAGGGATGTGACTGGATTCTTTGTGACTGAAGTAAATTAGTAAAACTGAAGTATATTTTTTCACTGTGTCCCACTGCGGCCCGGTACCAAATGACTGACAGACCGACACCGGTCCCCGGACCAGGGATTGGGCACCCCTGGTTTACAGGTTTGCAGTATCCTCTTCAACTTTTTTTTTTTTTTTCTTTTATAAGTTGTCTAATACGTAGCAATGCATTGAAGCGCATCAGCCCCATTGTTGATGTGTTAGTGGCCCATTGTGTGGACTGGAAAATGTTGGTCTGCAGCCAGAGGGAAAAAGAGCTTTTATCAGAAAATAGAAGTTCCTGATGTGTCCAAAAGAAGACATCCAGTTACATTATAACAGATTCAGAGATGAAGAACAGAGGAGACATTTTTGGGAGGGAGGTAGGAGGGGGGGTGGAAAAAAAATTAAAGTGTGTGGGGATGGAGGAAGGGGAGCTTAAGAGGATTGGCAGGTTCCTGCAGTAGTGTTGTTGCTAGGGAACACCATGTGACCTGTTGCCTGGCAACACCGTTCAACTGAGATTGCTGCAGCAGCCGCACCCACCATCAGCAGGGAGTGGGCGAAGGTAGTTTCCATGGCAACCTGTCATTTCTCTGTATGGAAGGTTTAGAGGGAAAGATGGAGAGCTGTGGAGGGAAGAAAAAAAAACAACAGAACAAAAGAAAGAGAAGATTTAACAGAAAAATGAGGCGCGTTGTGCTTTATGGTAAATAATACACCAAACGTTGGTTGCAGAAAACACTGTACTGTGATGTGCTGCCTGTCATTAAGCAACTGTAACATTTGTGCCAGTACTACAAAACCACCAGAGGGATTTGTTTTATAATGGATTCCTGTATCTCCGAGGGACAAAACGACATAGTAACTTCTATTTTAAATTTAGGACATTGGGTTAGATTGGAAGACGCTTTAAACACCCACAGATTCTCATCAGGTGCCATGACAACCCACCCCCTCCCTGCAGTGTCCTGGGTTTTTTTTTTTTTAAGCACCTATTTTCTGTTCCTGTCACATATTTGCTGTGAAACATTATGAAGCTGTTGCAGAGTTACAGATAATCCTCTCTGTCAGAGGCAGCACCAATACAAGCAATAAAAAAATATATATATGAGTATGACTCTCCATCCCGGATGTTACTAAATATTAAAAAATATATTACAATAGTGCAGCGATATATGACCAACAGTTAAGTTTGTTTTTTTAACTTGAATTTTATAACTGACAATTTCAGATGGTTTTGATAATCAGTTGTTGTGTCATATTTGTCGCGTCACTGCCTTTATTACCAACAGTGTAGCTAACAACACACAAACACAGCTCAAGTCTACCGCTAAAACAGTTTGTTCTTATTTATTTTCTGTCATGCCCCCCCCACCCCCCTTCCCTCTTGTGGACAGAAATGTTTAACATGTATATTTTTATCTGTACAAACCACTGTATGAGTTGCTGCCACCTAGTGACTGGAGGCTTGTCATCATTCAAGCGTTACAGCAGTGGTACACTTATGTCCATATTTCATTGGAAGCCCCTGATGTCGCCCCCTGGCACCTCACCACGGCCCCCCAGGGGGGCCCGCCCCACTATTTGAGAAGTACTGCACGAAAAGAATATAAATATGTAAAGTTCGAGTCTGAGCATTTAGTGGAACGTGTGGTCAACAGGGCGGGCAAAAGAGCAATGATAATGAAAAAAAGAAAGAATAACACAAACATCATTTAAACTTCTGTTGCTCAAAAGGAGAAGAAAGACAGCCGAACTTATCACCTCCCATCACTCCAGCATTATTTATTTGTATATTTTTATCCATCTTTCACAGAGAATAATGCGTACACAGCTACTTCTGTTACTGTAATAACATTTACGCATAATTTATGTGATGAATGAACTAAGCGTAAACACAGAAAAGAACCAGTTGACACGCAAAATAGATTTAAATATGGATAATCAATAACTTAAATAACATATTGACACGCGCTTACTGTACATGCAAGTAAGATATGATGTCATATTTTGTTTTAAAGTGTTTGAGTTTTTTTTTTTTTTACATTTTCTAATTTCTATAGTTTCCCACCACAGAATGAAATACAGAATTATTATAATGTTTTTCTTTTTAATTGATTGAACCTGAGTTAGTTATCTTGGGCCTTGACCAACGTGTATGGTGTACGAAATTGGATCATGCCTGTGCATTTTAATATGTTTAGCCCGCAAGAGCGTGAGTGAGATCCTATCACAGCATCATGTAACCTGACAGCTTTGATGAATTGAAATGCATCGTTTACTTTGCTGCAGTAGAGGCGCGCTTTACAAACAGAAAACCTTCACAGAACTTGACAGAATTTTTTCTAAGGAACCGATGTACTTAAAAAAAAATTAAATAATCAGTATACGTGGTGAGTCATGGCTCAATAATATATCACCTTCTCAGTGTTTCCAATATTCTTGGTGATCAGTTTACCGTAACACTGCAGTAATGCAAATTTTCACCATTGACACAATGTACTATGGTGACATCACTCCTATGCATTTCATTTATCCTAACACTGTATGCACCTGGTGTTGGAGCTTACCTTGACTATATGCATTATTTAAATACAGCACTTTTCTGTGTTATGGAAATCATTTCTTCTTCATTTTCCAGCAATGTCAAAATAATTAAAAAAAAAACAACTAACAGTTTATTTAAAAAAAAAAAAAAACTATCCTTTTCAAAGATGTTTTTGATCTAAATAAAATCCAGACCTAAAAGTAGGTCAACGCAGCAGGAACTGGTGAGGGCCTGAGAGCGATGTCTGTTCAGAACCCACCCCCGCCCCCATCTTTCTTCATATCTCTCACTCACCCTGTCTCTGTCTCTCTCCCTTTTCCTCTCTGCCCTTCCTGCTGTATCTCCATTTATTTCAATCAAAAACAGGAACTTGGAATACTAGATCTTTTCCAGTAAAGAGGCCCAACATTTATGTGCCAAACACGTTGTGAAATGCTGTACAAAAAAAAAAAAAATAGACTTGAGCTTTGATTCCCTCCCCTGTTCCTTCCTGTGATCTTGGCTGAACTACTGTCCTGAAAATATCTTCTCCCCTTAGCTTTCCCTCTATCGTCGTGCTTTTCCTCTGTTTACTGTACATGCTCTGCTTTTTAAAGGTTGTCATATGTGTTTGTCAGGTTTACATAGATAGATGGATGGATGGATGGATGGATGGATGGATGGATGGATGGATGGATGGACGGACAGACGGATGGACGTCCG